GTCATAAACCCAAACCTTAATATTTTACTCATAAATAGAGGCAATAATTTCACCTGCTAATTCACACTTTTCAACAAAGAACACAATGCAACGAGCCAACCAAAATTTACTACAAATAAACCGCGTAATTATTCAGACTATTACGACTATTTTTGATTAATTAATTATCTAAATGCTTATTTCTAATTACAAAACTTCTACAATATTATTCTACTAATAATATTAAATTATTATTATTATTAATTATTATAATTATTAAAATATATATTAGTAATTTGAAAACGTTAACAGTGTGTATATATGTCAAATTCAACTACAGTACTTATTATATATAACTTGAAAACGTGAATTCTCATACTACTCCATGATGCACCGCACATTAGCTATCAATTGCTAAGACCATTTTAACTATGGCACCGCTACACTGGAAGAGTAATATATATGCTAGCACTCACGTTTTACTATATGTGCTATATCATATTTTCATTTATTACCAGCCAAACACGCCTTAGCATCCTGCGCTACTGATTTAGCTTTTTAAATATTGCTTCTACTATTTCTACTTTATACTATTTTCACTTTCTGCTACTTATAACCATATACCACACTATCACTTTATTAATAAGTCTGCCACCAATTTCTGCTACTTATCTTAATCTATTCTAGTGGCATAATACTACAATTGATTAAACAAATTTCCATACTGATAATAAATCATAATTTAGCAAAGATGTATTATTATTTGGAAACTCCAACTTATCCTACTGACAACTCTAAACATGCCAGAATTACGCAAAACAAATGAAAATGACTTTTAATGATACGAAACAACTTTATTGATAACTTTAACAACACTATTGACACCTCTAACAACTCTATTGACAACTCAATTGACATTTATTAGCAACTCTAATAACTCTATTGACAACTCTAACGGAATTAAAAATTAACTTAATTTCTCATTTCTAATTCCAAAACTCCTAAAAAAATATTATTCTTAATAATACTAAATTCTTATTAATATTGTTATTAATATCAATTATAATAGAGAATTTTATATATTAGTGAACCTCAACATAATTTCTAATTGTTATATAGTAACTACATGTACTGTTACAATATATACATTATTGTTATAGCAGTACCAATTATGCCGCTACGATACAACGTTGCTACATACATAATTGTTATATAGTAAGACATAGGTTGTTTCATAACATAGAGATGCTATCAAATTGTATGGTTTCATTAGTTTCAGAATTATGATCATCGTTAAAGGCTGGATTACCTTTAGAAGCTCCACCTTCAGAAGGTCCACCTTCATGGACATGATTTCCACCAGAAACATGATCATCTTCAGAAGTTTGTCTTTCAGAACCTACGTTTTCAGATTTTTCCCTTCTAGAAATATGACCACCACCGTATTCAAAATCTGGATCAGAATCGGATTTACCATCTGACTCATCTTCAGAGTCTCTAGAAGATTCTTCGTCCTGACTCTGACTCACCTTCAGAACTTTAAGGTTTTGACTCATCTTTAGAAGCAGAATCTTCTTCTTCAGATTCTGACTCATCTTTTAATTCTTCTTCAGACTCATAATCACCTTTGGATTCTAACTTGTCTTCAGCTTCATAGTCATCTTCTAACTCAGACTCATCTTCAGAAACCTCAGATTCTGGCTCATCTTCAAAATTTGCAGTGTCATCTTCTGATTCTGACTCATATTCAAACACTCCTTCAGCGTCAAAATATTTAGAATCATCTTTTTCCCCTTCAGAATCAGAAAATGATAATTTCACAGGTTCCTCGTCAGATTCATAAGCCATTAATAGCATAGGTTTATCATCAGAATCTCCTCTGGCTATTTTTGCTTCTTATTTGTTTGACCAATAATCTTTAGCAAAATGGTCAAACTGCTTACAACAGTAACACTGAATCATTCTCTTGTCATACTTCTCCTTTCCCTTCTGATGTTTCTTTTCATCAGAAAAGAAGACTTCTGACTTCTGAGACCTACCATGTTTTCTATGCTTCTGGTCCTTCTTAACAAAAGAATCTTTCAGAGCCTGCTCAACTTCTCTCTCAGAAGTTCTTTTAATCAGACGCAACTCTTGCGCCTTTAGACTTCTTTACAACTCTTCTATTCTCATGGTGTCCATATCTTTAGAATTTTCAATTGCTACAACAATGTAATCAAATTGAGGAATAAGCGACCTTAATATCTTCTCAATGATTACTTGTTCAGAAAGGGTTTCTCCACAAGCTTAATCTCATTAGTGATCAGAATCACTCTAGAGATGTACTCAAAAACCTTCTCTTTGTCCTTCGTGTTGAGATTCTCATATTGCTTTCGTAGGGACTGGAGTTTCACCTTCTTCACTGATGTGTCACCACCGTAACACCTGACCAATATATCCTACACGCCCTTTGACGTCGTCGGATCTGCAATCTTCTTAAATACGTTCGCATTCCCTCATTGTTGGATATAGAACAACGCCTTCTGATCTTTCTCCCTCTTGTCTCTCTGTGTGTTTCTCTGCTCTTCTGTTGTGTTTTCTGCAACTGGAACATAACTTTCAGTAACAAGCTCAAGAACATCTTAAGCACCGAACAACACGCGCATCTGAATCATCCAACGATTCCAGATGTTGCCATCGAACACTGTAATCTTGCTACTCATATTATCGTTTCCGTTCATCTTCAACCTTGTACAGAACACTCAGATCTCATAAACACAGTGTTTCTCAACCCCACAAAATCAGAAACAATGTGATTCTGTTCAGAGTTTGTTCAAGAACCAACACAAACCCAGAACCAAAATCAATCACACAAATGCCTCACGTTTCACTCGTATTTCCCTGTAGATCGGAATCAGAGCTCTGATACCACTGTTAGGGAAAATCGGAGGGAGCATTCTTTACTTAAGACACACCTTTTGTGAGAGACATGCCACATATCCACCTAAAACCTTGAGGTGATAGGTGTGTGGGTTATTTGAACTATAAAGTGTTCATTCTTCCCTTTTCTAATCAATGTGGGACTTCTTCCTCACACTTGATTCTCAACAATCACAAAGGTATAGAAGAGCATAGATAAGGAAATGAAAGTATTTGATGATAGAGTGTTAGACAAGTATGTTGATCATCTAAATGAATTTGGTCTATCGAACAAAAAATTTAGTTTGGTGGTTAAGGGATCTGAGAAACACGTTATAAGGATGTCAATGCATAACCATCGGACACTAGTCATGATTTGGTTGCTAGCAAGATCCAACCAACTTAGGATGTTGTTGTTGAAGCTCCCCCCTAACCAAAGGTATGACCACTCCTTCATCGCCATCGAAGTCCCCAGAGCGACAAAGATTTTCTCGAAAACCAAATCAGGTGAAGGATTTTTCGTGAGTTGTGGGCTTTCCACCACCACGTAAATCGCTAGAGCCTTAAAGGCAAGTTTGTTTGCTCCAAAAATAGAATATCATTTGCTTTATTCACTATTAAGGATGGAGAATATGGTACGGGTTGCTAGAAATGCTAGGTTTGCTCTTGAGTTCTTAAGTGTTAACTTACAAAGGTAGCATTGTGCACCCTTGCATGTTGATAGTTAAGAATCTAAGAAAATGTACAGTATTTTTTGTTAACATGGCAGCCTTCATATATTATTTTTTGACAACCAATTCTGCAAAAAACACAATATTTGAAATATGAAATTTGCCAATAACACGCATACATCAGTCTTATACTATCTGTTATAACCTTTGGAGTGAGCCATTTTCAGTTGCGACAAAATCCTTGATCGAATGGGGAGGATGAAGTCTACTTGGAGGGTCGATTTGGCTTAGGCATGTCAACTTGCCTCCGTTAGCGGGGATTCCCCATTCGAGGCTCCAAAGACGGGGAATTTCTCCCATGGGGACGGGGATTGGGAACAAAATCTCCCCAAAAGCTGAGAGACGGATGGCGTAAATATCTCCCATCTTGTGGAGTCCCTGTCCCGCCTAGAATGTCATAATATCCTTAATTTATATGTAATTTTACATTTCTATGTAGATTTGTTTGTTATTTCATATAATTTATCTTATAAACAAATTTAAAATATAAATATATTATTAAACAGTAAGATCTAAATGATTATTTAAAATTTTTTAAAATTTAAAATTTTAGTTGTTATGACACTCAATGTTATAGATTAAATATTATTAAAATAATATATTGATTATAAAAGAATAATTTCTAAAATTTTTTTGGTTAATTTTTTTAATTTTTATTATTAATTTGGTTTTAAATAATAAATAAATAAAATCATTTATGAATCTATGGATAAGGAGGTATTTTGATCATCTTGTTCAATGACCTTAGGATTGAGTAAAAAAATTATATCTTCTAATATTTTTCCTCTAATATTTTTCCTTTGCTAATTACAGGGATTATCCTCTAATATTTTTCCTTTACAATCTTATTTTCTCTCTTAATTTTGAGTTACTAACAAGTTTTAATACGAGAACGAGAAATATTATGAATTTATATTGGTTGCTGTTGCTTTCCTTTTTATATAATAACGTAAGTAAACAATATATGACATTTATTCACCTTAGACATTGCCAAAAAGTACATTTTATACAACAGTTATTCACCTTAAACATTGAACACAATCCACTCCAATAGGTCCTGCAAATCAAAGATCTTATTTGTCTTGAATTCTCAATAGAGAATCAAAACCAACCTTGTTTAATATTTCCGGCGCATTGTTCTCATGTTCGACTTTCAGAGCAATTTATTATTATTATGTTTTAAGAAAGAAGCAATTGAGGTCATGTCGGCAAAGATAGAGGTTTGAACTTCCCTTATCTCTCATATGTTCCATTGAAAAGATAACGACAATCAGTTTGGCCATAATCCAGTTTGCAAAGCTAAATCTCATGTGATGAGTTAATAGAATACAGTTCAAAATGAATCTTAATACAAGAAAAGAGTTACTGAAACAAGTGAACTCAGCAACATAACTACTTCTTCCCACTAGGCTCCAAATTTAAATCCTGGAGGTTCAGCAAGAGATCATCTGAATTCAAGAAAACCTTGTTGGCAGAATTTGAAATTGTTTGAGCAATTTCCCTAGCAGCTTCAATTTTCCTTAAGGTTATAAATGCAGGGTTATTGGAAATAGCTTGACCAATCAACTGAGCACTCTTGGCTTCTCCCTGTTTGTCAAAAAGAAATGAGAATTCAAAAAGTAGTCTATATGACTGAGGAAAAAAGTTCAATAGGGTCATGTTGAAGGATATTCAATTTCCTTGCTTGATAACTTATCCATACATCACCAGTCACCAAATTTAATTTCCTTGCGCGATAACTTTCATATATCACTCGAACAAACAATTAGAGTGATCTTTTCATTTTCATGCTAATTTTATTTTGCATCATTCGGTAGCAGTTTCAAAAAATAAGGCACAGCAACAATGTTTAGAAAGATAGCAAACAAAAGTATAAGGAGGAATGAGGAAAGTATTTTACCTGTGCTCTAATAACAGCACTTCTTTTGTCTTGTTCAGCTTTTTCGACAACAAATTTAGCTCTCTCGGCTTCTTGAGCAGCAACCTGCTTGGCTTCAATTGCAGCTGTGAATTCCCTCCCAAATGTCAAACTTGTGATTGACACATCGTCCAAAGCAATGTTAAATTGTGATGCCCTTTCAGTCAATATCTTCCTTATTTCACGACTAACAGCCTATAAATCATTTTAGAAAATTAGTCTCACCCACATGGTTGTGATTTGAATTTCTTTCATTTCTAAGAATACAAATTCCAAAGAGAAGTAAGAGGGCATATAAACACAATTAATCCAGTTATTAGTAGAACGGAAGATGAGAGAGAATCTATGTGAAAAGTTACCTCTCTCTGAGTAATGAGCTGACTGGCATTGTACTGTGCAACCACAGATTTGAGAGTTTCGTGTATAATAGAAGGCAAGACCCTTTCATTGTAATTCTCGCCCAGAGTTCGATAAACTGTGGGTAATTGGTCTGGCACAGGACGAGTAAGAACTCTAAGTCCAATTTTCACCTGGCAAAACAAAAGAATCATAAATAATACATTACATAGAAATGAAAACTACAATACAGATTATGGTTGCGTATTGTGCCTAAGAAAAATATGGGGATAAAAGAACTGTCTATACAGTAATAGAGTTAGAATGAAAAACACTTGCAAATACTAAATCAGTTTTGACGTTTTTAACATAAATCTAGAATTCCATGGTCATAGATGGTAAATTTATAATAGTTCAAATACAAGAGAGATGAGCAAAGTGCACATCATTGGAAGGAGAATGGTTGAAATGAAACGACTTAATAACTTGAGAGTTGAGAATTGGTGGTTCAGTTCAGGCACAAATTAAGAGATCAATCAAATAGAAAGATATCAAATCACTAAAGAGCAATATTACTATGAAACATAATCCTGCAATGCCAACAGCCCACATAGAAAGCATGATTTACAAACACTCTTGGAATAGCACTACGCTAAGCTAAGCAACGGTAAAACTAAAACTGCTTCAATAGACTAAACTCTAAAGGGAGAGAAAAAAACCACCTATCAAAATTTTACCTTAACCCTGCCTTTTTTTTCTGGTAAACAAGAAACGATTTTCTTACCTTAATCTGATTTCAATCCAAAAATACAAATTATTGTAACAAAGAAAAAACTTTTTGACTCCTTACATCCAATACTCAGGCATACTACAGCACATGATAAAATATTATGAACTAGAAAACAAAAACAGGAGAAACCAAAAAATTTACCATTTGGAGATCCCGACTTCCTGAAGTGCTCTCCACTAAGTGAGGTCGTGCACGAACATCATAGATCACAGGCCTCTCAAACCACGGGATCATAATATGTGTTCCTTCAGGATAAACCTGCATGTTAAAAAGACATACTGTATTATCACATATTGATATACTGGGTTGGCAGATGTATACTTGATTCATGCTTATAGAAATACTGTTAGTGAATCATAACCTAAACCCTAAAAATCATATGAACTAACCGACACATATATAGACAAAAACCTAAACAAATAAAACGTTAAACAACAATAACAACATATTGTGTGGTTTTACAGTTGAGGAAAATGGAAAACCTTATCTTTGACACCAACAAGACGGTTAAAGACAATAGCTCGATGACCACCCTCAACATTATACAAGGTGTTTGTAGCCCCATACACAGCAAGTCCACCAATAATGCTAACTTTAAGCAAAGCAGCGATTCCGCTACCAGGAACCTTCGGGATCTTCACGTTGTTGAAATTCATCTATCAAAATCAAGACTACATCAACAATAAATCAAAATTGAACAACAACAACAACAACAACAATTTCAGCAATAAGATCGAAATTGATGAATGTGAAAAGCTTGGAAGAAAGAAACTGGAATCGGTACCTTGCGGAGAGTGGTTGTGGAGATTGGGGTTCGGTGGAATGAGGGTTCAGTGGTTGTAGGGTTTTAGATTTTGGAGCAAGACACTGCTTGCGACTACTTCGGGTTATGTGTTTTAGAATTTCTGGGTCGGGTACCCGATAACTTTACCCATTGTTTAGGCTTCGTTTTCTATCTACTCTTAAGAAAAGGGTACTTCCATGGAACTTAGATCTAGACCGTTGGATGTTAACATTGTAGAAATAAATTACTAGGATTTTACAATGGATGAAAGGCTGATTTGTCGTTCTATCTTTTTTATAGACAAACTAGGCAAAATCTTAATACAACTTTATTTCTTTTATTATCTTTGACATATACTTTTGCATTATCTTGTTGAATAAGAAAATAGGATTTTCTTTCTTTTATCTATTTTTTTAATAACAGATAATAAAACGTTATCCATCAAACATAATTTTATATTATCTCTTTTTACAAAATGATTAATTTTATTTCTAATGCACCTACTTCTTTGTACAAAATTATTCTTTGAACATGATTTATTTCAAATTTTTTTATTTTTTGAATATTCTTACATAGACAAAATTATACATGTAATTTTATAAATAATTAATCACAATTCTTTTATTAATTAAAAATTAAAATTAAAATTTTCTCATTTCTTCATTATCACAATCACCTTATAATTTCAATTAAAAAAATTAAATTTTAAATTTCTCTCTTCTTATTAATTATTCAAAGATATGAATATAGATTTGTTTCTTGCAAGTATTTCTATTCTTTTTCATCCGGCAACAATTAAATTTTTTTTATTTTTTGGGATCATGTAGAACTATTTTTTATAAAGTCCAACAATATCATACATTTTTTTGGAAAATGGAATATGATTTGGATTGGGCTGGTGCTTGCCTCATTATTGGGGAGGTCCAATCCAACACTTTTGCACAAGGCCCAAAAGCGAACAGTTTAAATTGAGCATCGTTTGGCAACTCCTCATGTGTCCGTTAGAGAATGTGGCTCACAAGCCCTTAACCACCTTCCTGCCCTCCGAATCGTGTTCAGCTTCTGCTTTCTCGGGGCAGTCAATCAGGGGGAGGCCACGTGCTGACCTTCATACACACGTAAGCCCTGACAATCTTTTTTATTGAGCCTCATCGTGGCCCAACATTGGAGACATTGGCCTAGCGTTTAGGGGCTATAAATACCATCTCACTCGAGAGGGTCAGGTATTGAAACATTCTTACTCACTCTCACTTGCTTGCATTATTCTGAATCTCACTTTGACATCAGAGTATCTTGCAGGTATCCCCCCATCTCACTTCCAACCTCTGCTCGATGTAAGACTGTGACGATCCATTTTGGTCAGGTACGATCAGTGGCGCCGTCAGTCACGGGATAAAACAAAGACAAATATCGCGAGCATGTCCCCGCACGAAAGGCAGGCATGAAAATAAGACTGCGACCATATCCCCTACCTAAAAGCCTCATGGCTTCCTCATCTGAAGAACATTCAAGCAAAGCCTTTGTATTGATAAACATGTTAACGAGGAGATACTCCCCGTCATTGTCAAAAGGAGGTTGTTGTTCACATCTACACACCTCGTTGGGCATAAACTTTTCACATAGGACGCCAGCTTCTCATAGGAGAGTTGATCCTGCACGTCTAAATCCTCAGGTTTTACCGTATAATATTCTGACCTTTGCTCAAAATGTTTCCACTGTCATTCGAGCGGGAATCTGGCCATCAGCCAGACTACTGGTCGACCGTCTTCCATCTCTTCCACCCGGTTATACAAGGAATCTATGGCCGCATCCGTTAGAGGCTTCACGACGAAGTACCTCTCTTTAAAATGGCGGACAGATTCCAAGTATGGCCGAAAAAGTTTCCCAAACTGCTTAAAAGAAACCCAAGTTTGTCCTCCTCCGATGGACTTCCTTTGCAAGTGAAAAATACGGAAGAAGAGGGGAAACGTTGCATTGATTTGAAGATATTGGCAGACGAGCTCGAATGCCCACATGAAGGCAAGCGCGTTCGGATGAAGCTGAGAGGGCGCCGGTTGTAGCCACTGAAAAACCCCCACTTGGAAGTCATTGAAGGGAAAACGCATCCCCACCTCTTTGAAATCGAATTCATACATGGGGAATCGCTTGCCCGGATACGACAAGCATATCCTCCATTTACGGTGAGGGATTTGTAGCATCCAGTTGGTGGGCGCTCCCTTAGCCCGAACCTCTGGACAGTTAAACGCGCCTGATGCATCGTGCAAGAAGCACAACCTCTTATTTCTCGATTCAGGTACGACCCAGGCCAAAGGGTCCTCGATGTTGGCTTCATCTTTGTGGTTGGCGGGCACATCGTCTTCATCGATGGGATGCGCCATTATACCTGAAAAGCAGGGAAAATAGTGAATTCGACATCATCAAATCCACCCTTCCACCGTAAATCAAGTGAAAGGGCGATGAATCCATCGAGGAAAAGACTTCGAACCAAGCCCTTGATTGTTATGCTAAAACGAGCTCGGGGACATTCAGTCAAGCGGACATACAGCCCGGAGTAGCTCCGTTATTCAGGGAAATTGTCCCCGACACCATGGAAATTAGCCTCTATCATGAACTTCAATAGCATTCATGAGTGTTCATCGCATAGCTCATGAATGTCCATCCAAGATTCATTCAGTCAAGGCAAAAACTAGGTGTTTAATCTAGAAACGCTAAGGAAACATGTTATTAAGGGGATATGACTTACTTGGATGAATTATACTTGAAAGAAATCTGAAGAGAAGTTGGGAGGAGAAGATCCACGCGCGAACAAGGAAGCTGCAGAAGAAAACTTGAGAAATAATAAATGAAACCCCTGGGGTCCCCCTTTTATAGGTGGCTCACACCCCGTGAGGTTTATCACGAAAAGTCATTATTAAATTAAGCCTTTTGGACTCCCCATGAAAAGATGGCACCCCAAAGCTACAGCCATGTGGCCCAACAATCAGCCACATATTCATTCTCAAGAGACGAACACGTCCTCGACTTCAACACGAAACATCGTATGCAAGCACGATGCAGACGCCTCACACGAAGAAATGCTCGACACCATGGCTAAAACATGCATACAGGCATATTCATCGTGATCCACCTTGAGGGAAAAATAATGCTCGACATCGTAACAATCCCTTGAAGACGGGCACGTTGAAAAAAATGTTCATGGAAGCTCCCCGTAGCCTATATACTCCTGTCGAAAACTAGACGAATAACTGAGCCAATTGGTCTCACAGCTCACTTGTCCACGAGATCCCCGACACGGTTAAACAAATTACCCCCGACTTGGGTGAATAATTTTTCCCCATTAGAGGGTTATGATCTCCTTACTCGAGCAAATTCTCCCCGACTGTAAAGTTGAACTTAAGTCATCACCCTTTCACCTAAGAGTAATAACTTAGGGGGCTCTTGATCTGGACTGGGCCGACGCTTGCTCCACCGTTGGGGAGGCCCGATCCAACACCTTTGCACAAGGCCCAAAAGCGAACAATCCAAGTTAGGCACCGTTGGGCAACTCCCCGTGTATCAGTTAGGGAACGTGGCCCATGTGCCCTTATCGTCACCACCTTCCTGCCCTCTGAGAATATCGGGTCCAGCTCCTGCTTTCTCGGGGCAGCCAACCAGGGGGGAGGCCACGTGCTGGCCTCCATACACATGTAAGCCCTGACAGTCTTCTTTATTGGGCCTCATCGTGGCCCAACATTAGAGACCTTAGCCCAATACTGGGGGCTATAAATACCCTCTCACTTGAGAGGATCAGGTATTAAAACATTCTTACTCACTCTCACTTGCTTGCATTATTTTGAATCTCACTTTGACATCAGAGTATCTTGCAGATATCTTCCTGTCTCACTTCTAACTTCTGCTCGACGTAAGATTGTGACAATCCATTCTGATCAGATACAATCAGAATCTAATATACATTTCAACGACTATTAAAAAACTAGAATGAATTTATTAAAACACTATTTGTTCATTAATCATATTTTTCTTTTAATGATGCCAATACACTAAAATTGAATTTATTGACATTTTTGTCTTTTTCAAAATAATATGCATATCTACGTATAAGAACACAAGATGTTCCGGTCAAGTTTATTTCATTTTGTCCTTTGTATTTATTGGTCCATCTCAACTTCTTGGAGCTAAATACACGCAACATACAAGAGCATCTCCATTGGTGCTACTCATATTTGGGTTCTTTGTGGGACCCATTAAGCCACATCATCTTGAAGTAACTCACTCCATTTTTCACTCCAATGGTGCAATTTTAAAGAACTTATATTGGGTCCCACAATTTTACTTTGTATATTAATATTTTGTTCATACTAAATTTTATTTGATTTAAAATTGTTATTGGGTCCCACAATTGATTATTTTAATAATAAAAAATATGAAGAACCGTTGCTTATATTTGTACCGTTCACCAGCTGGAACAACTTTTTTGTTGACAATTTCAATGCCAAACTGGAAAACTAATCTGAAAAACCACCGTTGGAGGTGGTCTAACTTTTCTCAACTACATCATGCTTAAGTTCAGATTCTGACTCTTCCTCTTTTTCTAACTACTCTCATCCCTTCTCTTTCCATGCTCATGAAAACATTTGCTGGATTTTTCAAGTTACTCAAACCAACTCAACGTCACTTCTTAGTTTCTGATTTTTGCAAAAAGCATACATCTTCTCAACATCACTTCTATGCTACTCCCGTCTCTATCATTGTTTGCTTATCATGTCAAGACCATTTGAAAAGATATAGGACATTAACAACAAGAAAGAGCTATGGAAGATTGTTGAATTTTTTCCCTACATGCCACGCCCATGAAACAAAATTCTCAAAATG